TTGGGGCCAGCCCGCACATGTGCAGCACAGCCAGTGGGGGGAAAACCCGCCAGATCAGGTTATTCCGGATTTATCCCGTGCGGGGGGACACTAGTCCTGGCTTTGTCCCCCCCGCTCCCATCGCAGCACCCTCCGCCAGCCACGCTGCCGATGTGCTGGTTTAGTGCAAGTGCAGAGGGTCAGGCTGGTGCCCACCCTGGGAGCGGTTTTCCTCTTCTGATGCAGCAAAAAAGCGAGCGCCAAAGCAGAGAAAACCTCCAAAGGAAACGCATGACCTCACGGCCACAGGAATGACTTTTCTTCCCTCCCATGGGAAGCTGCTCCCAACCGCTGCCAGCCACTGTGGCCCGTGGGGCGGCACGCCAGGGTGCCCAACCCCGTGCCGGGCAGCGAGATAAGGCTCCGGGAGGTGACACGAGTCACGGAGGGCCGGGCCAGGCTGGGCAGCTGCACCACTGCGCTGCCGAGCACATGGTGCCCCAGCTCCCCGGGATGCCCTGGCACCCACACTGCCTGCAGAGAGGGACGGAGCGCCCGGGACACTGAGCGGTACGTAGGCTTGCCCTCTCCCCAACCACCTCGCGGAAATGGGGTTTCTAGAGCATGACTGAAATTACGCCTTTCTGCAGCACTTTTCTTTTGACTTGCTGGCAGGTTGGAGGGTTGCACAGGAAAGGTTTTAGTTGTTCCTCCTCGTAGCATGGAGGCGAAGGGGAAACGCCACGCATTGACATCCTTTCTGTGGGGTGCAGCTGTGCCCGTTTCATAGACGGAATTAATGAATTACCTGTGTTAATGGCAAGGGTTAAATTTGCATTTCCACCCATTACGGGATATGTGGTAGAACCGGCTGCGTGATGTGTGGTCCAGGTCAAACCCCTTTATCCATCATGGCTTTGGATGAATTTGCACAATGCAACTCTCCAGCACACAACCCTGACTGCCAGGACACCCCTCAGGTGCCGACCGGGAGCCCTCAGGGCTTTGCTAGCTGCCAAAAATGTATTTCAGGTCCTCCCATACGTGCAATTACTAAAAACCAGAGCCCTTGGCAACAGCTGCCCAGCGGAGGGGCTGCCGCATGGCCCACGCGTACCCTGTGCTTTCAGCCCCAAGAAGCGCCTCTTCCCAGCAAACAGCTTGCTGCCAGCCCTGAGCACCAACGCTTGTGTCACTCCTTCTGCCCTGGGGGTTTGGGACGGGCCGCTTTGGTACTACCTGCAATCCACGGCACGGGGATGCCCGCCGAGCTGCCTGCTGCCATTCCCACGCTGGAGGGGATGCGATCGCTCACTCCCCTCCATCTCTCACCGCTGCCACAGCTCTTGATTCACTGCTTGGGGAAACCTCACCAGAGCAGTGAGCTCATAGTGATTTAGCTTTGGGCTCAGTGACACGTACAGAGAAGTGGACAAGTGGCCGCCAATGACAAATAAAAAAAACAAGAAACCAAATTGGTAGCAGCCACAGATGGGTGATGCTCCCCTGGCAGCCGCGGGCAGCCGAGTGCAGGATGGGGCCATGCCTGCCCTGTAGCACGCAGCGGGCAGGGATGCACCGAAACCCTCCTGTGCCCTTTGCACCAGCCCCACAGCCCGGCTTCCCCAGCAGCACCTCCAGGTGTCTCGTCCCACCTTGGCTGCAGCCCTGCTCGCAGACAGGGCTCGGCCACCGTGGCTGGCCCCAGCCCCACACCCCCGCCCGCCACCACGAGCATCCTGTTTGGCTTCTGTTTCAGGATCAGGGCCTCACCCCGGTTAACTATTGACTTGTGCTGGGGGCAGTTTTGCCGTAAGATTGCCTCTCCAGCCGTCTGGCAGATGCAGCAGCTGGCCAAGCATTTTTATAAACAGAGGAATTTATAAGCCCTCTGGCAACCAGTGCTCTCCTGTTGAGTAATTTGGCAACGCTTAGTCGCATTGACTCCTTTTGAAACAAAAAATGGCATTGTAGCATCCTCCATTTTCCTGTGGTGGGACCAGCCCTGGACACAGGGAGGATGTGCACCCATCCTGCACCAGGCCCCTCCTGCGCCCTTGCGTTTTGTTTCACAGGAAAACCCTGACGTTTGGAGGGGTGACCCGCCGGCTGTGGGCAGGAGTGACACCTGGCAGCCACACTCTTTGGAGCCGCATCCCCACCCCGCACCAAAATGATGTCTCATTCATGGTCAGGGACCTGCTGAGGGAGAGGGACACGTGGGGCTCAAAAGCAGCAAAAAAACCCACCCCGAAAACCAGCAACACCAGAAGTTTCTGGGGAAGAGAAGTTTTTCTCCGGTGCTGGGAGGAAACAGGAACATTCACCCGCTGCATCCTGGAAAAACCTCCCTGCAAGGGAAGGGATCTGCCCCGGTTTCTTCTTGGCAGCGACAACTCAGCCCTACCAAGTGGCACTCCAGTCCAGAGCAGGCTCAGGGCCTTTGCCTTACAATGCCACAGAGCTCTTCAGCAATATTTGTCCAAGAACATTTTTGTTCCTGGAATGGTTTTTAAGCAAATAAGTTTCAGGTTTATTAGACAAATAACTGTTTATCACCTACCACAGTTCCTTCCTTTCTCCGTCTCCTGCAAGTCGCGCTCTGGCAGATGCCGGAGTACAGCCGTCTTTTTTTCCAACACAGCCTTAGCAAAAAAAAAAAAAAAAAAAATCAATCCAAACAATTAAAAGAGAATATAATAGAAATCCCAGGACAGGGCTACTCTCTTGTAATGCAGTCAGGTTCCAGGAATTTCAGCACCCAGGGACTTCGCCCAATAAAGTTTACCTGAGATTAAGGTGAAGATAAATAGCTCAGATAAATACATGACTTCCCCAAAGCAGTAGTGTTTATCCGTTTATTTTTCCATTTCTCTTCCTCTGCAACAAAATCAATATGTGCATAGAAAAAACACAAATTTGGCAAAGGAGAGCACTGTGCAATGGGCCCCGGTGAGGCCAGTGTCCCCTGCAGCGGTGGGGACCAAATGGGGACAGTTTTACAAACCCAGGGGAGTTTTGCTCCGCTCACTGTGTCTCAATCACGGCCCAGGTCTGAATCCTCACCAGCTCAGGGCTCTGCTCATGGCATTTTGAGGGGAACTCCACAGGCTTCAAAAGCAAATCAGTACCAATTTTGAAGACTTTGCGACTTGCCAAGGGGGATTTTGAGGACTGCTCTTCTGCTCCCATCACACCCGTCACCTCGTCAGGCACCAGGCTGGGGAGCCAGGCGTGGGAGAAACTCCCTGCCTTTAAAAAGCAAAACTTCATGCTGGAAGGAGCAAAAGGCAAGAGCCTGGTGCTGTCCCACCAGATCCAGCTCCTCCTTGCTGCAGCCTCACGGCAGACACGGGTGCAGTGGAGGGGTCTCGTGGGGAGCGGTGCTGGGCTGCGGCTTCGGACAGCTGAAACGTCGCTGCGGGGCTGCCGCTCCGGCCAGGCACCGGCCACCTGGGCCAACGGCAAACTCCCTCCGGGGTCGCAGGCCAAGCAGGAAAGCAGCAGCTTTCCTCCTGCAGTGCAGACCAGTTTTCTCCTTGGTTTTAAGGTTGCCTAAAAGCCCCATATGGTGATGCCGCAACCTGCCCCAGGGTACAGGGGAAGCATCTCAGCAGGATGCTGAGGGGGGATGCCAGGTCCATCCCATTGGGGTGCCAAGCAG